TGGATGACGAGCTCGAGTGGGGCATCAGAGCACATAATGTAGCATCTGTTTAGGTCAGGTGTTGTTACGTTAGATGAGTAATGAGGCATCCTAGGTAGGAATAGATCATTTCATTATATCATGAAGCTTTATTCCATTTGCAACATCATGTTTGAACTTGTTTTACATCCTTTCTCAGTTTTTTATAATGATGTTTAAATAAATTCATGTTACTTTAAGGATGGTGAGCATTGAATCGATTTGCAACTTGAAATTCTTTGAATATCAACTGAATTAAAAACTCTGTAAATGGTCAGAGTTATTATTCTTTGACAAGGTGACAAGGTTGAAACCTGATAAAACAAGGACCTTGACCTTATCCCCGGAAGATTCAAGCGAACACTATACTTTAGGGAATGAACAAGAGGCTTGGTATTCAGGTATGCATAGGAACGGACAACATGAGGCATCTTTTGTTTATGATGTTACAAAACCGACTAGATTTCACTTCTGTTGATGACGTTCAATGATGATTATGATCTTTACAGATGAAATAGTAGGTGAATCTAGTTTAGGTCAGTTGCTTGGAAATTGAACTCTAACAATGAGATTTTCTGACTTTCAACAACACCTAGACTATGACAGGTTCTTCTTGACAAGCTTAAGAAATTGGATCCGTATACCCAGATTATAATATTATATGTATACAATAAAACTTGAGCTGTCCCTCTAGAGTAATTGGTTAAACGCTCGGGCTTTATGGATAGAATTCAGCTAGCTTGATAAAAATGATTATATTATATGTATACAATAAAGCTGAGCTATTCCGCTAAAGCAATTGGTTATAGAGGAAACTCGAAAGCCCTGGCTTTATGAATAGATTATATTCAAACCATGACCTTGATCGGGTACTTGGCAATTCGGTGTATGCTCCACTGTGATTGTCAAGTCAAAGACTTCGTGATGAGATGAACCCTTCAGCTAGCCCGATAAAGGCAAATTACAATAAAGTTGATTTCATCTAGCCAAACAATGGCAAATTAAATCAATTTTATGAATAAGGAGATTCGGTAAGAATGGACTAAGGGAGTTAAGGAACACCAGTTATAGTCAATATCACACGAGCACTCAGGAATTTCATTTTTAGACCGATATTTCTGCACTACCTTTGTTAGAGAAGTCTACGAGGCTTGAACAAATGGAAGATTTCAGAGAACTGAAATAGAAGTGTTCTAGAAAGTCTAGTAATGGATTATGTTGGTTGTGTCATTTTGTCTGCATCAGATTAAAATACTAAGCCAAGAAAGAGGTACATGTTAAAATGTTCACGATGATCGAGAGGGAAATAAAATTTTTGTGGACGAAACAATATAAAAAAAGAAGCCAAACTAAAGCCAACCCATCAATTTTGACACTTGTCAAAGAGCTATAACTTTGAAAACATTAAAGAAGCTATTGATTCTTTTGATATTCTGTGAACTCATGTTTATGATTTGATTCGATTGTGAGCCTGAACTGAGGGGTAATGTTTATAAAATTCTTTCATTTTTTATCCCTAAAATAAGAAAAAGGGGAAAAACATTTTCAATCAGGGTAGTCTCGAATGTAAAAAGGTCCTTGAAGCTAGAAAGATTCATTCTGCCTCTGTTGTAGAAAAAATAAATGATGCCAGAATAGTGAAACATTTCACAGTATTGAAAGATAGTGGTCTGGGAGATTAGAAGGACTGAAGAATAAAACTTGTGACATTTCCTTGTGACGTTGTCAATTACCCATCAAGAAGAAGATGATCTCATTATTCAGAAGGGGCACATATTACAACTTGTATAAAATGCAAGACATTTTGTTAGAATAATTGATCACTTCTTAAATGTTTATGACAATGTGAAGAGACGCCCTCAAACTTCTTGACAACACTACTGTGCAGAGACACGAGAATGAGAACATTCAAGTTAGGATATGTTGGGCACGAAGAAATCCATGAGTACCCACTTTGGGGCATGACCAGAAACCTAGATCATGTTAAGATGATAAGATTCAGACCAAGAAGACATTGAGAATGAGTCTCACAACTTGAAGTGTTAGGGGAAGACCGTGAATTTGAGTAGAGCTTACCTTGTAAAGCAAATCAATCGAGCATCAATCAATGGCAGAGTCCTGAAAGAACAACTCAGAAAGCGCAATTGAGCCAAGAACGAAAATGGGGGCAACACAGTGGTATTTCTGATCATAGCAAGAAGTTGAGAGAGAAAGTGATTTCTCCGAAATGAAGATAGAAAACGAAGACAACAAGAAGATAGAAGAAGATCAGAAGGCTCTTCAAAAATGCAAGTTGGAAATTGTAAGTTGTTATACGGATATTTAAAGCAAACCCCGGAGAGGAATGATCAAGTAGAAGAAGACTAAGTTCGCCACTTTGAATTCAAATGAAGATTGAATCGATATTTATCCATTCATGAGAACATTATTTGCATAAAAGAAAATGCATTACACTGATACATTTCATTGCATTCGTGTTTCATGCATAAACACATGGTTTTGACAGATCTTCCAGTGAAAAGAGAAGATGCGGGATGTTAAAATCCCGATAATTGAAAGGTAGAAGTTAAACATCAAATACAGGGAATCATGTTTAGAGAAGCAGAACATGGGGAAAGCAAGGGTCAATCCGTAGAGGAAGCATTACTTTGAAGCGAGGAACGAGGCCCGACCTTTAAGTCATTTTATGAAGTGAAATGAGAAGGATTTCTCATTAAAATATGAAATTTGAGATTTTAAAAAATAAGTAAGGTTTCTTACCCAGTAAATAATTTAAGTCCTTCGGGCCATCAGTAAGTCTTTCGAGCATGATGATGAAATCCTTCGGGTCATCTATAAGCCTTTAAAGCAAGATGATAAGTCCTTCATCCATCCATAAGACCTTCGGGTAGGATGTTTTCACATGAGTTTGAAAAATAAAAAAGTGATGTTTTAAGAAAATGAAACCTTTGAAAACTAAAAAGGATTTTCCCCCCAAAATTTCGCACTTAGTAAGTCCTTCGGGCCATCAATAAGTCTTTCGAGCATGATGCTTAAATCTTTAGGGCTATCAGTAAGTCTTTCGAGCATGATAATTAAATCCTTAGGGTAATTTATAAGCCTTCCCGGAAGAGTAGTGAAGCAAACCCATCAGTAAGTGCCATCAGTAAGTCTTTCGAGCATGATGATGAAGTCTTTCGGGCCATCAGTAAGTATTTCGAGCATGATGATTAAATCCTTTGGATAATTTGTAAGCATTCACCGAAGAGTAGTGAAGCAAATCCATCAGTAAGTCTTTCGAGCATGATATTTAAATCATTCGGGTCATTTGTAAGTCTTTCGAGCAAGATGATAAGTCCTTCGGGCCATTTTAAGCCTTCTCGGAAGAGTGTTAGAGCAAACATCAGATCATTAGATGTGGGAGGAAAGTGAAGGTTCTCAAGTACAAAGAAGCAGATTAATTGATTAAAAGGAAATGTGCACGAGGAGTCATTAACCAATTCAAAGTCCCAGGAAGAGATAGGTTCAGATGGCAGTCGAGTACTAGAAGATTCTTATATCTAGTTATTGCGAGACAAGCTCCCGCAAGAGAAATGGATTCTCAAAGATTCTCTTAAATTCTAAATTTTTCGAGTATAATGTTTTTCAAATCTTTAAGCATACATTAATAAGTGGAAATGTTTGATTTTCAGGTTTAACCTTCGAAGTTGAGCCTTCATGGAAGAATAGTGAAGCAGAATCACACCAGAAGATTGTTCGAGTTCTACTCCTTGAAGCAAGAGGGAGTGAATCCGTAGGCATAGGATTTGCAATTTTCGTTAATTTTCGTTAGTTTTAGACATTGGATTTGCAATTTTCTTCCATGTTTCCTTTTAGTCTCACGTATGTTTATGGTTTATGTTATTTTAATCCTTTTCAATTATTTTGTTTATATTTAAGGTACTAATTTTCGGGTTAATATGATTTAGTCCTTATTTAAATAAGCATGATTATTGTCCGAAATTTGTAGTTTGAGATGTTATATTTTCATTGAATGTTTTTAAGTCACATTTTTGCATTACATGGTGATATATGCATAGTATATAATTTATAATTAAAACATATGTATATAATTTTTTGTATGTCACGTTGTATGATATTTTTAATTTTGTTTAATTGATTTTGGCATGACATCTTTTTTGCACAATTTGTATGATACCCTCATGTGCATAACTCGACTTATAAATACATAATTGGACTAAGGGTAATACCCTTTTAATCTAAAATTGTCTTTAGTGGCTTGTCTTAATTAATTAGAGGGTTATTTTGACCATTTTAAATTAAAAATGTATCCCGAAACTAAAACTTAAAAAATATCGATTTGTCACCTAAAATTTGAGAACGAAAGAAAATAAAATGTTCATTTATTTAAATTTTTCGAGAAAATGTTGTTATAACTCATATAAGATCTGGTCTCGATATTTTTAAATAATCAAACATTCTTTATCTTTCTAAAACGACTCGGTAATTTTAATTTAATTTATTTGAGTACTTTTGAATGTTTTTTTTTTTAAATTTATATCTTTTTTTATAGGATCAAAAGCAAAAATTAAGTTCGAATTTGTAAAGTTCATTGCAAAGACATTAATTAATCGACTAGGTACCGATTTAAGACGTTGTGGGGGTTTTAATCATTTTTCACTCGTAACCAACTCCCGAACTCGATTTTGGTAACGCAGACTTTAACTTGTTTTAATTAAAATTAAATTTTATTTAAAATAACAAAAATATTTTTGGATGCCCAATCACACCCTAATCAAAGATTGATGACGACTCTTCGAACTATATTTTTCTATTGTAAACGAAATCCCAAGTTTTTCGAAACGAGAAGTTTTTTAAATTGCATTTGTTTTTAAATTAAAAATCAATTGAAAGAGGTAAATAAAAATTAATGAGGTTTTCAAGATCTCACCTTTAAGGAAAATCGTTTCAACAGATAGTAATCATTTTTCGATGTGTTGCAGAATTTTGCGAAGGTCTTATTAGATGTTGCAGACAATTTAAAATGGGCTTCTGCACATGCTAAAAGGCTGTTTCTCTAAGATCGGTGAATCCGAAGACACCGTCGGAGTTGTACCTCTCATCAAGACACTCCTACAAAGAGTTGAAATGACAGAGAAACAGCTAGGAGAGGCAATATTGCTATCTTAAACCATAATCCACATGGTTTCTATTCTTTGTATGATAACTGCAATGACAGTTCAATAAGGTGCAAACTCGAATATATACCACAACGCTATTATACTGTTACTATTACTATGACAATATTCGATCGAGCATATGTAAGTATGTACCTACAACTATTGCTACTACAATATGTGATCCATTATTACCTTGGAGTGACCAAATTCGTGGATTCATTTCAGCACATGAACCGTGTTCCCTTTTAACTAATTACACATCAACTGACTGCCCAAAATCCCATTGAGTTTGCTGCCTTCTCCTGACCGACACTCATGCCTACGGAATTGCGTCTGCCATCATGGCCTTTCAAACAAAAACCTAAGTCCAAATTACTCATGTTCGGATCCTACAAAAGGTGCAGGAAAATTTTATTTTCATCCAGTCTCCAACTTTGAGCAAGATGATGTACATAATTTCAACAACTCGACCATTTCTTTATACATATGAACCAAGTACGGTGCAAGCCATCATCAAATAACCCTGAAGTTCCTAACGTTTAAAAATGTCCTTCCGGAAGCCATGATAGGCTAAATCTCATTGTCAAAGGGTTATATTGCAGCTATTTTTAAATGCAATAAGACAGCTTAAACATAACTTATAGGTGTTACCTGAGTTTCTTTCTTTAAAAGATCATTCATGTTCAACTCGTTATCGGTCTTAGACGACAACCAGTCAGGGGATTGCTTGGTCTTATTACCATCTGTCTTAGCTTCATTTTCAAATTGTTTCGCAGCCGCCTTTTGACGCTCTTCCTCTAACACGGCAACCTGCACAAATGACAGTCAACAACCATTTTTATGATCACTAAAACACTATTTGCTTCTGTAAAATAAAAGTAAACAATATTCAAGCAAAATAAACAAACTAAAGGGAAAACCCCATTTTTAACTGTATAAACTATATTGGAAATTCATTTATGCTATATTTCTTGAATCCATGACAATCTGGGCACACAGGTGTTAATGGTTTAGTTCCATATTAATCAAGATTATGAGAGTGAAAATAACAGTGAGCAAAAACCTAAGCTAAAAAGCCTAAAAACACCAGAAAAAGGACACATACGTATACTGGTACGCATACATAAAGGTTACATACGTATATTCAGAGGCTTACAGGGGTATAGCGGAACTTGCGCCTCGGGGGCTGCTCCTCGTCCTCGCTGTCGACGGCGGAGGACCCGGGATTAGCAAACGAAAGCGGGGTCCACCTACAGAGTAGGATGCTGGAAGCGGCGGAACCGTGCCCAGTGGACTGGTTGCGTTTGGCGGTGGATGAAGGCGACACGTGAACCCACTTCTTCTTCCACTTCCTCACCGGACCATTGAACACCGCAGTCGAACCACCGTAACGAGCAGAAACTCGGCCAAGCCTGGTGGAGCCCACTCCTTCCATTTCGATATTCCAAGTCTCGAGATAAGTACCAGGTTGCTGTAACCCACAAAGGAGAAGAAAAGCAGATATTTTTTTAAGAGTGAAAGCGAAAGTGTTAAGTTCGTTTTGTACGGTTGTGGTGTTGGGTTCGGTTTCTGTAATAAAAAACAGACAAGACAAAGAGATTTAAGACAAATAATCGAAATTTGTACGAACGGCGTCGGTGTAGTTCGGTCGTTTTTTCTGTTTCGTACTTGCGATTAGGCGGTAATAATTAAGAATTAATAATAAGGTGTTACAAGCATAAAATGGGCTTCAAAGCTTTAAACTTTTAAGGGTAAACTACGATGGAGGTCAATTTTATTTTCGCTATTTTAATTTGATCACTGAAATTGAAAACATTATATTTTAATCATTTATGTTATTGATTTATTACGTTCTTGTCCTAAACCATCAACTCTCAATACATCGATGATATATTATGTTAATAAAAATTGCTAATTTTTAGTTCGATCTCTAAATTTTAGATAAAATATCAATTCAATCTTAGAGCTCTCTCAATCTTTCTTTTAACTCACACTATCATCATTTACCATCGACGTCGTTCTGACCAGTGATGACAACAAGCTTTCCGCAACGAACCAAAGCTCTCTCTTCCAAGATAATTTTGCATGAAGTAAAATTTCTTTTATATAAATTCAGCCGACACAAAATCATAAAATGGGTTCAAAAGGATCAGGCTCACCTGCTAGCGTATTCTTGTGGATGGATACGGTAATATGAAAATGAAAGATGTCAAAGCCATACTTAAAGACAAATTTTCAAAACGGCAATGTTTTCCACTTTGGTCTTCTTTAAATCTCATACTCCAGCATCAAAAATGTAAATTATTATCTTCAAACACCCAAAGCTTCAAGGTTTACAGGGAGCAGCCAACAATGGAGAAATGTAACTCCATAAAGCTCCTCAATTTAAAACTAAAGCACCCGTCTTTTCGTTGCCAGAAACTCCATTTCTCTTCCTTTCAAAAGCCCAATTCTCCAATTCAATAGCAATGTCCCTCTCAACCATCCCTCTTCTTTTTCCCGCCAAATTCAGTTCCTTCAACGGCCATTATCATCACGTATTGAGGCTTCAGCAGCTTCTTCGGTGACTGTCGCGGCCGATCAAACCCAACAATTTGTGTATTTCTGTTATCTTCATGCAACAAATCTTATTAAATCTATATTAGATATAACTATCACCTAAATATAATTGTTAATTATTACCATCTAAGTATTATTTATAATATATGAAGAGCAAAGGTAATTTCTTGGCCAATTTTCATTTTGTAAGGCCATTTGGTTCATGATAGTCTTGTTTACAATTTATTGATTTCAGGTTTTGTTTTCATACCTCAAACTTTTATGGTGATTGTATATGAAATCCACAGTTTTGCTGTTCAAAAATGCTTCTCCACTTGCTATGCAGAGACAGAGTTGATATTGTGATAGCTGTTTGCTTTGTTAGATTCATTTTCAATGCTGAAATATGTTTCTACTAGGGTTTTCTATGTAGTTTTCATCCGAGGAGCTTGCAAAAGAGGTGCAGAACTCGATCTCAATCGCTGAATTTCAAACGACACAAGCAAGAACACGAACGAAGATTTTGACTTTTCTGAAGTACCGAGTTTGCTAATGTCCTACAATTTTGTCTTTCTGATCATAAACATGAATATATCATCCTACTCTTTTGTGCCATAAGACTATGTTCACCAACTGTGAGACTTTACTGTGTCGAAGATGGAAGGATCATGCAAGAGACCTCGGTAGACTGTAACCAAGTCTAGTCCTCATCAGAGATGGAGAAAGTGTTGCACTATTCTCCTTCGTCTGCAAGAATATCGATTGGATTCACCTTCAAAGTGTATTCGAATAAATTTCAATCTCGTCCTAACACTCTCTCCTGCAGTATCTGTCCTAGTTTCGTATATAGTATTTGCTGCTCTTCCAAAGTAAGTGTTGAATACATTTTGATGTTTCGATATAACAAATTAAGTTAAATGAATTTTAAGATTTTACAAAAGATTTTCTAAGTATATTCGATGTAATTATTCGAATATTAAAATATTACTCCAAGTTTTTCAAAGTTCATTTTAATCCTTACTAAAGTGTAAAATTGTGTTTTATACTTAAACTATTTTAAAACAATTTTACAAAGTATTTCAAGCCTTAATCGAGCCAAAAATATTTTTTTAAGGGTTTCAAGAAAAATCAGATTGTCCAAGGGGTACAGATTCCCCCCAGGGGAACAGATTCCCCGGTAACAGATTCCCCCTAGGGGTATCGATTCCCCGGGTACATATTCCCCCTGCATGGTTTGGCTCCGAGAAATAACAGGTTACTCGGAGGGAACCGATTCCCCCCTTGAGGGTACCGATTCCCTCACTGTTCATCAGCCCAACGGTCATAATATTTTAATATTATGAAGGGGTATCGATTCCCTATGAAGGGGTACAGATTCCCCCCATTCTGAGCAGCCTATTTTTGCAGAAAAATCATTCCCAAACGGCTCCAAAACATCCCCAACGGTTAGATATGACTTCAAACACATTTCAAGCTATAAATACAAGCTAAGGACACTTGAATAAGTAAGAGAACAACTATCCAAGCAATCAAACACAAGAGAAGAGTTTTTTTTTCATTCTTATTTCATCTTTCTCTTATAAATATTTTGTTCTAGTGAGCTCAATCTTGTAAACACTTACCTTAGAGAGGTTTTCTTGTTTACTTATTTTATCCTTTTGTAAAGGGGAAATGTTCTAGCTTATCCTGTGTAAAAGCTAGGGAAAATGTTCTAGTTTAGCCCGGAAAAACTAGGGAGTTTGTAAGGTTACTCTTTGTCCTTAAAAGAAAGAAAAAATTAATGTATTTGTTGGAAAATCCTTGGTGAGGAGCTAAGGTAGTGGACGTAGACTTTGGTTGAGAAAGTCGAACCACTATAAATCGCTGTGCAATTCTCTATCTTTCAATCTCCTTACTCCCTAAACACAAAAACGTTCCGACCCCTCTTTGCAAATTATTTCGGTTGTCGATTCGAGCTTCTCGAAAAACCCAACAATTGGCATCAGAGCCTAACTCGTTAAGAAGGTTTAACCACCTTGAGACGATCTTAGAAGAAGCTCTATCAATTCCCTATACAACCGAGAAGATGGCTTCCACCTCCGGCTCGTTCCACATGGAAGACTCCCTACCAACCGACAAACCTCCATACTTCAATGGAGTCAACTATCATCATTGGAAGAAATTAATGAAGGTATTCATTCAATCCAATGATCTTGATGTATAGGAGATAATCGAGAATGACTACTCTTCTCCAAAGAAGAAGGAGAAGAAGCGGAGTGACAAAGGACGAAAGAAAGCTCAACTTAATGCCAATGCCATGCACATGTTGTTTTGTGCATTTGGTCCTGAAATCTATGAAGGGGTTTCTTCATGTACAAGTGCCAAGGAGCTTTGGAATAAACTCGAGGAAATCCATGGAAACAAGAAAGAATAACCAACAAAGGTGGTGTCTCTAATGGCATATGAAGAGATCGAGGTATCTTCCAACTCAAATGAATTTAATTCATATACATTTGATGAGTTACAAGATGCTTTTAATATGTTATATTCAGAGTTTGAGACCATGAACTCCAAATATAAGAAAATGATTTCAAAATTTAAAATTGAAAACGATTTTCTTTTGAAAACAAAAATAGATTTTGAAAGCCAAAATGAAATTTTGAAAAAGGATTTAGAGCTTTCAAAAATAAAAATTGATAGTTTTGAAAAAAAAAATTGATTTAAAAGTTAAGCTTGAATGCTTAACAAAAGAAAAAGAAATCATTTTAAATAATTCATTTAGTTCAATAATGACAATATGCTCACATTGTCATTATCATGGTCATTTGAAACATACTTGTCCTTTGAAGAAAGGAAAACATTTTAAAATTAGGCAATTATGGGTTCCAAAAGGAACAAGGGGCATTGAAACTAACGTCCAAGGATCCAAAGCAATTTTGATACCAAAATCTACTTAAATGTCTCTTGTAGGTGTGTGGGAGCAATGATGATGAGAGTGATGATATTCAAGTTGCTCTAGCCACACATGAAAAAAGAATGGGTAACCTCTAAGCTTAATGCTTTTAATTTTGGTTATTTGGTTGCTCATTTGATTTTAAGCATGTATAAGTTTTGTTTTTAAATGATTATGCATCATTGTTTTAATCTCATGTATGTTGAAAAGATGATTATGATGAACATTTTAAGGTTATATTAATTTTTAAGAATTTTTAGTTCATCATAATAAAATTTTGGTCAAAATTGGTTTTAATGCAATTGATATCTCTCTAATAATTGATATCAATTTTTCAAATACTTTGATTTTACAAATTTTAAAATTTTTTGACCTAAATTTGAATGTTTATGCATGTGGTTTAAATGAAAATGATATCTCTCTAACAATTGATATCAAAATTTTCAAATGCATAGCATTTTTGAAAAACTTTATGCATATGCACTTAATTTTAAAAATTGATATTGATATCAAATTTCAACAATTGGTATTGCATAAAGTATTTTAGTTTTGGATATATTGAATTTCATGTGCTACTAACATGTTTGTTATTCTTTGTTGAAATTCAATTTTGTTTAAGTGTCTTGTTCTTAAAGCTAAATTTTGTTTGGAATATATTTATTGAGGGGAGCTTTGATTTTTCAAATGATTTTTAAAATGTCAAATTTACTACTTACTCTCAAAGTTATTTTGAACTTCAAAGATTAGAGTCTTTTTGATTTAACAAGTGTTAAGGTGTTAAAGTGGAGAAGTGTTAAAGTAAGTGGAGTAATTTCAAACTTGATTTCAAAATCTTAAAATTACTCAAATGTTTTGTTATATCAAAAAGGGGAGATTGTTGAAAACATTTTGATGTTTCAATATAACAAATTAAGTTAAATGAATTTTAAGATTTTACAAAAGATTTTCTAAGTATATTCGATGTAATTATTCGAATATCAAAATATTACTCTAAGTTTTTCAAAGTTCATTTTAATCCTTACTAAAGTGTAAAATTGTGTTTTATACTTAAACTATTTTAAAACAATTTTAAAAAGTATTTCAATCCTTAATCGAGCAAAAAATATTTTCTTTTTAAACGGTTTCAAGAAAAATCAGATTGTCCAGGGGGTACAGATTCTCCCTAGGGGGAACAGATTCCCCCAGGGGGTATCGATTCCCCGAGAACAGATTCCCCCAAGGGTATCGATTCCCCGGGTACAGATTCCCCCTGCATGGTTTGGCTCCGAGAAATAACAGATTACTCGGAGGGAACCGATTCCCCCCTTGAGGGTACCGATTCCCTCACTGTTCATCAGCCCAACGGTCATAATATTTTAATATTATGAAGGGATATCGATTCCCTATGAAGGGGTACCGATTCCCCCCATTCTGGGCAGCCTATTTTTACAGAAAAATCATTCTCAAACGACTCCAAAACATCCCCAACGGCTAGATATGACTTCAAACACATTTCAAGCTATAAATACAAGCTAAGGATACTTGAAGAAGTAAGAGAACAACTATCCAAGCAATCAAACACAAGAGAAGAGTTTTTTTTTCATTCTTATTTCATCTTTTTCTTGTAAATATTTTGTTCTTGTGAGCTCAATCTTGTAAACACCTACCTTAGAGAGGTTTTCTTATTTACTTATTTTATCCTTTTGTAAAGGGGAAAGATTCTAGCTTATCCCATGTAAAAGCTAGGGAAAAGATTCTAGTTTAACCCGAAAAAACTAGGGAGTTTGTAAGGTTACTCTTTGTCCTTAAAAGAAAGAACAAATTAGTGTATTTGTTGGAAAATCCTTGGTGAGGAGCTAAGGTAGTGGACGTAGACTTTGGTTGAGAAAGTCGAACCACTATAAATCGCTGTGCAATTCTCTATATTTCAATCTCCTTACTCCCTAAACACAAAACCGTTCCGACCCCTCTTTACAAATTGTTTCGGTTGTCGATTCGAGCTTCCGAAAAACCCAACAGTAAGGCTGCTTAGTATCTGGAGTGGAAGGAAAAGAACGAACATAAGATCATACTCGATTCACGTGTGAAAAGAAAACAAGAACGGTATAAGTGATTACCTCGCTTAAAATCGTCTCAACCGGATAATCTTGGGGAACAACAAATGATTGATGATAGATGTATGCAAAAACAGCCATTACCATCTGGAAAGCACCGAATAAAATCGTATTTAAAAACAAAAGAAAGATACTCGGATTGAGCTCTTAACTCGAAGTCCAAGAAATAAGAAACAAACTAGCCACGGACAATATACAAGGGAAATAAATTCAAATACACCAATCAATATACATAAGTCTAGGATGCAATCATGTTTTAGAAATCAATTCATAAAACTATAGCAGCTTACCTGGCAGTCCATTCGGTCGGTAAGTCCACCATGTCCGGGTATACTATCACCAAAATCCTGTGTCAGCCAAGACAAGGTTGGTCGATGAGGTCAGAAGGGGTACGACAGAGTTAATCAGTTTTACAATTTTATACAGCACAATAGTGAATACAATGTTCACCTTAATTTTAAAAGCTCTCTTGAAACCACTTGCGAAAAAGCCCCCGAATGGTGCAATAATTGATGCAAATAAGCCCAGCAATAAAGCATGCCATTGAACTGGCAAAATTGCTATCTCGGTCCACGGCAACTGCAACATGTTACCGAAAGTAAATTACTGAGCTGATCATATTTTGTTAACAGATTAGTACATAAATAATTCCAATATCACTAGGCCATTGACAGCATTCACTGTCCACAAGCTCGGGGATCATTAATCCTTTTGTACTTTAACATGCAAACCATTAGATATAATGTTGCTAGTCATATTGTGACTGTCAAGACAACATCCCATTGTCAAGGAAAATTTATGGATGACGGTAAATCATACGTCAAAGAATTTTTTCATTAGGGTTGCTCATCTAATCGGACTATTCATGCTAAAGTTTTTAGTTGTTACTCACCCATGGCAATAAGGGATAATACTCTGGCTTAAAAAGTGGACCAGGATCGCAGCTAAGCCAACCAGTTGATAAATCCTGCATGCATTTCGGTGATATAAACATAATCGGAATGGTAAAACATTTTTTCATTTAAAGATGAATGCACTCCATGGTGTGTTACCTTCCTTGGACATGTCAGCCACTGAAAACTACCATAGATATTTGCAAGCTGCACGAAAGATAGTGAAGAGATTAAATCACAATCTATATCAACTATATATCATGACAGAACGTAAGGTTGTTGAGAGATTCAATACGATTCTCATTGATAAAGTAGATGTTCACAACAATTATTGCAAGTTCTGTTTTCAACAATAATCAGATAACCGGTTTACCCCCAGATGATCAAAAGCACTTCGGGAATAGACTCAATTGACAGATTTGTAAACACCTATTTCATGCACATGCTGACATATCGTTTTCACCATAAAAGGTTTATACCTCAAGAGTCAATCTAACATCAACTAAACAAAAACGAACCATGAATCAGGCATCTTTTTTTTTCCTAAAACAAGAAAGTTGAAGATTATGCCATACTGGCATCGTAAAATTTCTCACCAAAAATGCTGAGATGGTAGTTGCAACTGATGCACCAATGAAACCCTCCCATGTTTTCTTAGGAGATATCTTGATCAAAGGAGTTTTCCCGAAGAAGAAACCGAAGAAATATGCTGCAACAACATTGACAGCAATTAGTGATGCTGGGAGAAGGAACCTGCATAAAAGAAAAAAATCAATTAATTGGCAATAAAAAATGGTCAGTATTATTTATGGAAGTGCAAATAAAATTAACGAAGCTACTAAGAAAGCTAAATTGGTTTGCAAGTTACCAGAAGATGCCTTCAAAAATGTTGGCCACGGTAAATGCAGACTGAGTGAAAACAACAATGAGTATCATGTGTGTCCATGCAAACTGCCCAAATTGATACTTGTACATCTTCTTCTTTAGTGTAAGAATGAACCACATGACACCTGAATCCGAAACAAATTGAAACCCATTCAACCCCGAATGGAATATAAGTTCACAGCTCGATAAGGTAATCGGGGAAATGTAGATAACAAGAGAATGCACAGAGAATGTATGTCTTGTTTCTTTCAAAATCAAAACAAAAACAAACCTGCCATGTATAAGAAATAACAAATAACCATCTGATACTTGATGAGCCTGCTCACAAGCCTATAGAATATTTTATCTGAAGTTACTGTATTCACGAGCCAGTGACTGAGAATGCGACCGTATACAAAGAGCATAGCCGTAAAGTAAAAGTGCCTACAAGGACATAAAATGCCACCGGATATCAGTCTTTTTAGGCACATACCACAAAATGAAACTTGCATTGTAATCGTTCTTACCAGTTAAAGAGCCTAAACCCGGGGAGACATTTATCTTCATGAGCTTTTCTGAGGAGATTGAAGATCTCCCTTGCCATGAATATTTAGATAATAACAACCATGGCCAAGATATAAAGATGACCCATATAGATAACCAAGAGGAAGAGCCCCAGCATCCATATAGACGAACATGCTCGAACCCACATTGACCGGTATTTGTTGTGATCTTTTGCAAGTAAAGGATGTCCGTTTGTTTTGCTTGTATCAGCAGGAAACTGTTTCCAAAGAACACGGTCACGTTACTTTCATCACTCGAGGAGAAATAGGAAGAAAAAGGGACCTTAACACTTAAAAAGCACGAATGGCACGTTACAATGCATCTCAAATTCTAACCATGTCTGAAATTCATGATGCGCATAGGCACAACATAGTCGAAACTAAGTGAAAAAGAACTATCCTTTGAAAAAAATTGAACAAACCACCAGGATTATCCGATGGAAACTCATTGCTGCTGAACAACTTACTAACAAAATCGAAGTATCAAACGATTAACTGAACATAATACTTGTAATTTATCTCTTTCATTCATTGATAAGCGAATCCATATGACAAACATCTAGCAACATACATAAACAAGCCCAAGCAACAAAAATAGACATGCATGACAACAAAGATGCATATATTTTATGTTACAACCCAATACGAACCTCATTGGACCGTCTCCGGTGCCGAGCTCGAGCACTAGTAGGTGTATTTGGTGCACTGCTATCCTTTTGCATTTTTCTTATTATTTTTGTATTGAAACAATATAAACAGAACCCTGCTTACCAATCAGACATTTCCTTGGATTAAAGCAAAGAAATGAAAGAAACCCAGAGAATATGGAATCTAATGAATTGTTCTTTCTTATATCTGCGTTTTCCATTTTTTTCATAAATCTAAAAAATCTCGGAACTGCATAGTAGTGAATCAGAACAATTACAACATGATAAGGGAAAAAAATAATGGAAACTGGTTGCAATAAACAATGGGGAAGAGAATCAAGGGAGTTTACAGTTTGGTATGAATCTGAAAGGCTTCCACGTCCTTGGTTGCAAAGCCTAGAAATTGTGAAGGATCAAAATGATAAAAAAAAAACAAATCATAAAATTGAAAGATGAAGCAAGTGAATCAATCTTATTAGCTCCCACCGATTCATGGGAAACAAAGTGGAGAACTATTGTTTCTAGTTTCTCTTTGGGACCCAATCACTTGCAACTCCTTTGAACTGCCACGTGGATTCCCCAAGTAGAATTTCGTTGAGGCTAGTCGCCACGTGTAATTTTATCAAGGGTATAAAACCCTCTACCCGAAATCTGACTTTTAAGCTATAACTATAAGCACTTTTGGGTAATTTCATATACCTAAATCCTACATGACTTTTAAGATAAAATCTGATTTTGATCTTATCTCAAATAATATAAAATTATTAACTTTATTTAATAAAATAAAATTTTAATTAAAAAATAATATAAAAATATTATACAATTATTTCTAAATATAGAAGCTATAATTATATTAATTTTTGAATCATATTGGATCAAATAATATTCACTCTAAACCCGAACTATACCTCAATTCTTATAAAAATGGAAAGTAACAATTAAATAATAAAGTAGTGGATAAAATACACAAAAGGTCTTCTAGCTATGAGATGTTACTTTGTTGAGTCTTTAGATATTAAAAGTTATAAAATAACTCATTAACTAATGGTCACTGTTTTGTTGAATCTCCGACTATCAAAAGTTACAAAATGATTATCCAACTATTAATATCTCGTCATTTTATGTTAAAAATTTGACAATCGTATGAGTTGGACTTTAACTTGCTTACTAGAATATAATAAAATTATATTTTAATGATGTTTACTTGTATTACCGTTGCTTTCAAACACTGACTCGACGATATAATATTTCAAGCATTGACTAGACAGCATAATATAAACAGAGAGTCGATCTATAAAATATAACTCAAACGATTTTAAGATAAAATTTTATCATATTTCAGTCAACATGTTAGTGTCTAGCTTAGATGTCATCGATTTTTTAATGACAAATGACGAGTTTAAAACATATTAATAGTCGAGTGATCAATTTATATTTTTTAATAGTCGGGGACTCAACGAAACAACAATCTATAATCAGAGATTATTTTATAATTTTTAATAGTTAGAGGACTCAATAAAATAACACTGCATAGTCATGAGATCATTCATGTACTTTACCATAAAGTAATTTTCTTTAAGTTAAGTTATGATAATAAATTATAGATAATTTTAAATATATTATATCAATATTTTTGAATCTCGAGTTCAAATTAATAAAAATGATTAGTTTTTTTTAAAAAAAAAATCAATATATATTAATAAATGTTAAATTTAAAGAAAAAACTACATTTATCAACATCATATGTAGCTCATATATTATTATAAATATCATATTAGGAAGTATTTCATGCCATAGTTTTTGAAATTTTAAATCATGGAAGATATCTTTAAGTTTGAATGGACGTAAAACAAAGACAAAAGCCATGTGAAGGATTTGGCTGGTGAAATGTACAAACCAAAAAATAAACTAAAGAAACCAAGGAATTGGCAATGTGGTATTTCTCTATTATGATCAAAGGTCTCCCAGACAAAACACGATTAAAGAATACTACACATGTTAACGTGTTGAAATTTCCAAAACATTAGTCAGACTTCACCTGCCTTTCTGTAAGTTATTGGATTTTCTAATTCCAACTCATAGACCACCACCTAATTAATTAATCAACCAGTCTTTTGCTCCTCTTGTCCTTTTTTTCTATTCTATATTATCCCATGCAGTGCTGGGATGAGTTGATCTCTATATAGATTCATTTAAAAAAAAATTAACGATAAAGAAAATTAATTTTCGATAACACAAAGACAACTTTCGGATCAAACAACTTGTTTTTTTTTCATAAACGTTTGTGAAACAACTAACAATAATCTAAGTCTACCCGCCAAAACAATGTAATAATAATGTACAAAAAGAGAAGCGAGTAAAAGGGCTTTTTGCAAAGGGTTTTTAATTATGACAGCAATATGTAGTAGAAGCTGACAAATCATAAATATCAACTCACCTTCTTGCATGCTAATGATGCTTTATAATGTATACGTGTGAGGTGGAGAGTAGAGAAGCCACTGTTTGATTCGTGATGCCAACCTATGTAACAACGACCCCTACCCATTGCTCTCTCCATCTCTGTCTTTCATGTTCGAATAGAAGTGATATGCTTCTCGGATTAACCAATAACTTAATCTAAGTGATATGTTTCCCAAATAAAATCGAGTTAATTAGAAATTCGACTCATAGGAAGAATCCAAAAGTCTCTAGAATCACAAGGGACAATCAAGTAAATTCACAGCCATGAAGTGTCATCATCGTAAATAACCCAAAAAACACGGGCACTTGTGCATCAAAAGAATTTGTCGATATAATAAAGGGCCCCACACTCTGCAATCTCCACTCCTCTTCTCTGTACCTAAGCTTCTCTCACTCTCACTCTCGCTCTCACAAACACAAACTCTGCTCTCTACATATATCAAAGCTTTAGATCTGAAGAATCAAAACCCATAAGCCTTTGCTGGAAAGAAGATCTGGGTATGCCTTATTTCTTGTTCTTTGTTTTCTTTGCTGCATTTTCAGTTTTATTATTTATTTTTTGTTGTATTTGGGATTATGGGAGATCTAGGGAGCTTTTGGAGTTGTTCTTGCACTTGTTTTTCTGAATGTGTGTGGTTAATTAAGGATTTCGAGCTTGTTTTTTGGTTGTTAAGTGAATCGTGAGAAGTAAGCGAATTTGTGAAGTTTTATTTTATTTTATTGTTAAGCAGATTGTTCGGTTTTAGTGAATCAAAGTAGGGTTTCTTTGGATGTGGATCGAGGAATGTGAGGATGAAGAAGTTCAATATATGTTTTTCAATGCCAAATTGCTGGTGATTTTGCAATAACTTTTTGAGTATATATTTCTCTACCTTTGCAAAATTGCAGTGTTTGAGAAGCCAAATTTCTTCTAGTACGCTTGATCAGTTGCACTTTGGTTCCATAGTCACTGCTTAGGTCTGTTCTTTTGACTTCTTTTTTGGTATGACCTGACTTAAATAATACTTCCTGTTTGTCAGCTTTCTGCAGTTCCTAAAAAACAAAATAATATTTGATGCATAATATATTTTGTTCGCTAAATTCCATTGTTGCACTAGACATTGTTCACTCCATTGAGTTTCTTTCATATCATATCGATATGCCAATGCCTTAGCAATTGATGTCTTTGTAAATTTCAAATTTATGCATTTTATTGACATGATATTCTTTAGGTACAACTACAATTCTTGACGCTTCTTATAACTTGATGATTTCCCATGTCTGTGGCATTTTTTGTTAGATGTTCATATCATTTAGTCTAGTAAAGTGCTGTTTCTAGCTGGTCTGCATATCGCTCACTACTCCTGGTTTGTTATCTTCATGTGTAGCTCCAGATTCAAAGGGAAATTGTGTTAAATGTCTATTAAGTGGTTCCTTTGTTGCAGGTTAGTTTGACGTGATAGAGTAAATGGCAATAACGGATGCAGAAAACCCTCTTCTTGGAGAAACCACTTGTGGCTCTTTACTGCAGAAATTGCAGGTAATGTGATATTTAAATTGGTTCTCTCCCATAAAATCTTTTTCTGGTACATGTCCATAGAAATATAACCAGTTAAATGTTCCACAATTGATTGTAGGAAATTTGGGATGAAGTTGGTGAATGTGATGAAGAGAGAGACAAGATGCTTCTTCAGATAGAGCAAGAATGCTTGGATGTATACAAGAGGAAGGTTGAACAGGCTGCAAAATCAAGGGCACAACTTCTTCAGGCCTTATCAGATGCCAATCTTGAGCTTTCTACTCTTGTATCAGCTCTTGGAGACAAAAGTTTGGTTGGCGTTGTGAGTGCCCACCTATTTCATTTTATATTCAAAGTTACTATAGATAATAGGAAGCTGCCACTCTATGTATGCAAATTATAAGTTTACTGTAAAATACTGGGACCTGGATTCCTCATTGTTCCTTCGGGTTTGATTACAGCCTGAGAAGGCATCAGGCACAATCAAGGAACAACTTGCTGCTATAGCACCGACACTGGAACAGCTGTGGAAACAGAAAGAGGAGAGAGTTAAGGAGTTTTCTGATGTACAGTCTCAGATTCAGAAGATATGTGGGGAAATTGCTGGGAATGCCAGTGAGCAGACAGGTGCTCTGGCAGTGGATGAGTCTGACTTGTCCCTGAGTAAGTTGGATGAATATCAAGTAAAGCTGCAAGAGCTTCAAAAGGAGAAGGTAAGTACTTTGCCTTGGATATCCTTGTTTATAGTCTTTTCATGCATCAATCCTCTAACTTCTCATATATGTTGTAGAGTGATCGGCTGCATAAAGTCCTTGAATTTGTCAGCACTGTGCATGATCTTTGTGCTGTCCTCGGAATGGACTTCTTTAGTACTGTAACTGAGGTTCATCCGAGCTTAGATGACACTACTGGTGTGCAGTCAAAGAGCATCAGCAATGACACACTATCGAGGTTGGCCAAGACAGTTTCAGCTCTAAATGAAGATAAGAAACAAAGGCTTCATAAGGTATCTTTGTCGTATGCAGAAATTCTTTTCTCTCTTTTTTCTTTTTCCTATTCGAAAATGTGCAACCCATTTTGCTTCTTCTGCTTTGTTACTTTCACTGTTGCATACTGATAAATGACATTTCGGAATCACTGGCATAGTGGACATAGATATATGAGTTAATATATTCTTCTTCATACTTTTGTTCCAATAAATGAAATTACGATTAACATCCCCCCCTCTTCCCTTTTGACAGCTTCAAGAGTTGGCAGCTCAGCTAATTGATCTCTGGAATTTGATGGACACTCCTGAAGAAGAAAGAAGATTGTTCGATCATGTTACCTGCAACATCTCTGCTTCAGTTGATGAAGTGACTGTGCCTGGTTCTCTTGCTCTGGATTTGATTGAGCAGGTAAATTGAGTTTCTTAGTTGGTGTTTAAGTATGAATGAGAACAGTTGCTTATATTCATTTTCCATTTTCCGGAAGGCGGAGATAGAAGTTGAACGGCTGGATCAGCTAAAAGCAAGCAAGATGAAGGAGATTGCCTTCAAAAAGCAAGTGGAGCTTGAGGAGATATTTGCTCGTGCACATATAGAGATAAATCCTGGGGCTGCTAGGGAGAAAATTATGGCTCTGATTGATTCCGGAAATGTTGAGCCTACTGAGTTACTAGCTGACATGGATAATCAGATAGCAAAAGCAAAAGAAGAAGCCCATAGTAGAAAAGAAATATTAGATAGGGTTGAAAAATGGATGTCAGCCTGTGAAGAAGAAAGCTGGCTTGAAGACTATAATCGGGTATTAGATCTCTCCTCAACCTTTCTTTTTCTTTGGCTTCTTACACTCACTGCTCTCTCCCTTGTGGATGGGTGTATCGATTTGTGACGGAAATTAGGAAAAAAAATTGATAATCTGGCCATAATATTTATCCTAACATGATACAATTAAGATTCATGGCCGAGTGATTTGGCTTGATCTCTTTCTTGATAAATAGTAAATATTGCTGTGAACATTAATGCTGATTCTTGAATCCCTCATCAGATTCCGATGATCCTTGATTAATGTTTTGGACTTCTAAAATATGAATTGCTGCAAGCTCATAGCATCTGTAATTTTCACGCTGCTGTATCTATATAGGGAAAAGAATAAACATAGTACCAAGACGCAGATATGGTTGTGTTGTCCATGTGAATGCTCATATCTTGTTTTACCTCTAGTGACACTGAATGTTCCGCTCCCACTGATATTTTCTTGCTGGGACAGGATGAGAATAGGTACAATTCTAGCAGAGGTGCACACTTAAATCTCAAGCGTGCGGAGAAAGCTCGTATTCTTGTCAACAAAATTCCAGGTAGGACCTTATAGAATCATATTTACAGGATGGTGATTCATATGCCATTGGTGGACATTGTGTGCCTGCGTATGTTTTTTGTTCAATAGATGGTAATAATGTCGGTATAAGTAAATACAAAATCTTTGTGAAAATCATATGCAATTCAATTTCTGGTCTTAAACTTCCTTCTAATCTATTTTTGATTAGGTTCAATAGAAAGTAGGCCCTAAATCTTGTTCTCTACTTCTTACCAATCTGTAATTTGGTAGTCAAATAAAAAACATTAAATCTTAAAGATGAAGGTTCAATTTGTGAATAAAATTAATGTGAATTTAGATGGTCAAAATATGGAAATTGCATGGGATTCCTCCCTGAACCCTATAATTCCTTTTCACCAATTGTTAACGTATGTGTGATAGGGGAGAATTGTTATAATGTTACCCCTTTAGATCTGCATATATCGATTGTGGCCAGAGTTCATTTTTTTTTTCAATTGGTTTTATTGACCTTTTGTAGGTATGGTTGACACTTTGGTTGCCAAAACTCGAGCTTGGGAAGAAATTCCTGGCATAACATTTACGTATGACGGTGTTCCCCTCCTTGCCATGCTAGATGAATATGCCATGCTCAGGCAAGAAAGAGAAGAAGAAAAGAGGAGGTTTAAGGTGAGGTTTCGATTTGTTATCAGTTATAACTATAACTTCAAGATAGGAAGAAAGTGATCTCAGAAGAGTCTTCAGCTAAATATAGTCAACTTATGGACTTACAGGATCAGAAGAAGTTCAGTGAGCAGCAAAACCCTGAGCAAGAAGCCATCTTCAGTTCAAGACCAAGTCCTGCTCGAGCATCTGGTACGAAGGTGGTGGGTCCTCGAGCAAATGTTGGAAGCAATGGAACTCCTCCTAGCAGACGGTTGTCTGTAAATGCTAGCCAAAATGAAAGCAGGTTTGGTTCTAAAGATGGGAGGAGGGACAGCACGAAACTGGCATCTCCTTCCAATTATGTTACGATATCAAAAGAGGATGCAGCGTCCCACGTTTCTGGAACTGATCCAGTTCCAGCATCACCCTAATAATAAAATGATAGATTTTACACTAGTGTCTTGTTATTAGTGTTATTCCCAGATGTCATTTAGTGAATTGGTCCGAGTGGAAGAGATGTCGTAGTAGGGATATAGTCAGTGACTGGAGAGTATACTGTTATTCGATGTGTAATATTTGTGATATTTAGCATTTGGAAGCTGGTTTTTGATCCATTTTGTGTTCTTTGCATTAGTTAGTTTTATAATTACATTATTAGCAAACTAACAATTTTTCGAACATGTCAAATTATTAGAGTATGGAGATTGTGAACACTGTTACTTGCCATTAGAGATGCACATAGCCGGATTTAAATCCGATCCGGATCGGATAAAAACCGATCCGGTTTTTTTACCAAGCTAAAAAATCGGTTTATAAAAAAATCGGTTCGGATCATAACCGGCTTGGAGGGTCGGATGATGTAACCATTGTAATCGGTTTTAGCTTGAAAAAATCCGGTTTTTTTTAAAAAATCGGTTTTTAATCCGGTAAAAAATCCGGTTATCCAATTTTTTAAACACCAAACCGGATTTTTAAACCCCAGATCGGATTTTTTTCCGGATAAAAAATCGGTTTTTTATCCGGTTTATTTCAAATCGGTTTTTAATCTGGTAAAAAATTCGGTCGTCCAATTTTTTTTTCAAACCGGTTATACTATCCGGTTTTAAAATATCCGATCCGGTTTAAAAAAAACTGATTTTTTCTAAATTTAATTTCGGATATTTTTTTACGTAGATATTCGAATTTTTTATGCAGAGAATCATAAAATTCCGCGTGGTTTTCCATTAAAGATTCGGCAGGGTTTTGCTTTTCTCCAGTGAGTCAGCAATAAGGTAATTCCAAAAAACTTTGGATATAACTTAAAAACATAGGAAAACCCCAATAATTCTGGATAAGTTAAGAAATTGATTGACTGGATGAATCAAGCAACATTAACCAATGACCTAATATCGATGATAACAACTCTGTATCCTGATGAATCTTTTCCCTTGGAGAATCCATCTTGGAATCCTATATATGTAACCTTATTGTACTATGAAGAGCACCATTACTGTCTAAACGAAGTTCTTTTGAAAACATGGGTTGTAGATTCTCTAGTTCAAGACCCCAAAGATTGTCTGATCAACAGGAAACGAAACACGACAACAATCGTAACGGGAGTTCTTGTTCGGTCCTGTCTTTGCTGATGTTGGTTTGCATGTGGAAAAACGAAGCGAGAGAGAGGGAGTTGTTGCAGGAAAAAGAGAAGCAGCGGGTAAACAATGCAAAAGAGCAGACCCTGGAGGATTGGCTCATTGCTTCACCAGAGTTGCAAAAGATAAACGGGACCTCATCAGGAGGTGAATACCATGTTTTCAAACATTATTCATCCAACAGAGTTTTCCCATCTTTTGTCAGAGAAACTACTAATAGCAGCAGCAGCTCATCGAAAGAAAGGGGGAGTTTCTCTAAGGAGAGGCTTTTGAAATTTGAAGAAGAAGAAGATGGAAGGAATGAAGACATTATTGAGGTTTGTTTGAGCACGAGCCAAAGTGGGAAGTTGAAGAAAAGGGTGAGCTTTAGGCTACCGGAAGAAGCTGATATTTTCATATATCACTCATCTCCACCACCAGAAGAAGAATCTGAATAGGAGGGAGCTTAAATCAATGTGTGATATGTATTTATTTTAAGAATTAATCATAAACCTCAAAATTAAGCTAGATTTGTTTTTTTAACGGTTTGGGTATGCTTAGTTTGGTAACTTTGTCGTGGTCCGGAGAGAATGGGATCCAGTGATCGCTAAAACTTCATTCAAGTATCAATGGAAAAAATGTAAGATATTTGTATGTTAGTGTCTCATCTTATATTTTGAATAAGCCGTGTGGACTGGGAACACCAACTAGAAGAATAAAAAGGGGAAACAAGTAGTATGCGTGCAGGACCTAATAAAGCACTTTCTGAAAGAAAAAAGCTTTGTAATAAGATTTCATCCGAAATAACTACCATTGAACCCCCACCCCCAAAATGTAAGATTACCAAGAGGTGGGGATGTGAAGTCAATTTAACCAAATTCAATAGCATATTTCACAAGTTTTTTGGTAAAAAAAAAAAAGCCAAACAATTTTCCACCCTCAATCTATGTTTTCACATAGGCAAAGTTGAAGATATCTTAAAAATAATTTAGGGTAAAATATGGTTCATGTTATTTAATTATGTGTTTGATAATAAGCATACTATTTTTTAAAAAGTTATAAATATATTACTCAATTAAAATATTCTTACAATCAAATCACTAAATGTTAAAATAGTAGAAGGAATAGTGACGTGATATTGTATTATAATAATTTTAGTCCTTAAAACATATACAATATATTAATATGGTCCTAATTTAAAATAATTCAACAAATTAACCTTTCGTATTTAAAAAGTACATTATTTTAGTGTTTGTTCTTCTAGAAATATTAAATTACTTTCATTTTACGTATAATAATAATTTAAAATCAACTTGTTTTTGGATAGAATGCAACTATTTAACTATTGTTTTAATCTAAAGAACTCATTTGATTTGATAATAATAAAAGAAAGACAAATTGATTGAAATTTTAAAAATTACATAGTGATACGTTTGTAATAATTTTTATATATGAAAATTTATAAAATTTTAGATTAAATGTTATTAACCAAGCCATATTAGACATCCACTTCGATTTTAATGATATTGTGATGTGTTTGTAATAATATTTTTATGCAGTGGCATGCTTATTTTTTATAGAAAAAAATACTCATTTATTATCAAACACATAATTAAATAACCTAAAATATATTTTAATATATATGATTTGTTTTTCTAACAACATTCATTTGGTTCATGATATTATTCTTCATAAATGATTAACAAGTTAAAAGTTCAAAATTTAATGGAATATATATTATATTTTCAATTATATTACAGAAACATAATAAATTTTAGTTTTTTTTATGTAGTTTGGGTTAAAAGAAACATGAAATATTCTCTAGACTTAAGGATCCTCCTCATTAAAATGGCTTTTAATCTCAACTTGCCACAATTTTGCACCCTTCAACATATAAGAACAGATCCAAAATTATATTTTTTTTTGTCCTTCCGATTCTCAAGGCTCCGCATTGATTAATCTAGATCGATACGGGTGTACACCTGGCTATGGTCGGTGAGTATTCCAGTGGAGGTTTTCTATGTAAACAATGACTTGAACTCAAGACTTGCTTAAGCGATATCAAGCTACTTACCATTTGAATCAACATCCGTTTTTAAAATTAACATTTCTGTCCATTCTCGACGGAGGTGTGGGGGTGTTATGAGATTGAGTAATATTTCTCGGGCAATTATGACTTAGATCAGGAGCTGCTTTGGGCTGTTACTTTCCTTAAGGGTAGGTCGCTGATATCTTGCATTTTGAAGGTAGCTTGTATTTGTGTGCTCTGAGCGTAATTATAGAATTTTTAAAGGAGAGACTCGCTCTGCGGATGACATCTTGGCGTTGATTAAGGAGGTTGTCGGCATTCAATTCAGTAGGAAATGCATTGATAGGGCAGGCTATTAAATACTCGGTTGTGCACTGCCTGGAACATTTTATTGTAATCTATTGCGGTTTTGTTTGTTTTTTCTCTTGATGTGTTGCAGGAATTTTTGAGTACTTTCCCTCTGTTGTGATTGTAAGGGGTGGGGTGTTTTTGTGTTGGGTGTAGCAGGTGCTTCACCCCTCTGCTGTGTTTGTAAAGAGTGGGGTGTTTTGAGTTGTTTTTGTTTGGGTGTAGCAGTTTCCTGCTTACTTTTGGGTAATGGAATTCAACATTTATATATATATATATATAAAACATGAAATATTAACATTTCACTAATTAACATTTTTTCTTTTCTCCTCGTTTTTAGACTTTTCCCTTTTTTACATTAAGCAAGAGAAAGTGATGCCACTATGTGAAAGAACTGCAACTGCTCTAGTAGCTCCTTAGCATGACTTGTGGCTCGGCTGGCAACCCGTAAAAACAGCTCACTGAGCTTGTCCCGATGTGAGCATCGACAAGTACTCCGGAAACACTCCGGCAACTGTTGGCTAGTGCTCGACCTACCACCGATGCATCATCGGGCCGGCTAACAACCAGAGGGCTGCCTCCTTTGAATATCTCAAGCTTGTTTATGGTGAATGAACCATCAGCTTCAACCACTTCCTTGAAGTAGGCTCGGAGCATATACCGGGATGTTGAAATTGTCACGCTTTTCTACACTTATAAGACCCTGCTTTAACACGTACATAGTTGCAAATACAAAATTTTTAAATCTAAATCTTAAATTATCGATATATAAATAAAAATATAAAATATGATTTGGAAATATATGAAATTATTATTATATTATTATGATAATCTATGTGGCATCTTGAATAGAACAGTTGATTTAAGGAAATATATGGTGAATGAACCATTGCCTGCAGTTGTCATATAGCTGCCGACATGGCAAAGTGAGGGCTAGTCTCTTAACCAAGACCATCCAACGGCTGACATTGGAGTAAGTTAATCATGAATTGATCAGTGACAATCCATCATAAACCCCAAGACACCTAATCATCCCCTCTTTTGCATGGTGTTTCCTTCGCTTTTTGGTCTGCCAAATTGCAGAAACAGACAAGAGGAAGAATTATCACTACTTTTTTGTTCTATAACTCAGTCAATGTCAAACCACAACTTAATCTAATTATACATGTTTAAGAAATAATTACAATTCTAACATCATTCTTAACCCTGAATTATGAAATGGGTGTGATATAAATAATCTGATGGTGTGGGTTATGACATATGTAGAATTGGAGAGCACTGTTGGTACATAAGCCGCATGTAAACATGAAGAGCTTTAAGTAAACATGGGGGTGATTAGTGATTTATCATTAATTAAAGAGGGTAAGGGGTGATGTATGTACCTCTTGGACAAGATCATCCCCTTGGACAAGATCATCCCAAGCATACTGAAAGTGGGTCCCAAAGAGGAGGGCGGCCCCACTTTGGTCGGTGGGGTCCACTGAAGTTCGGCCCAAGCAGACAGGGAACATGGACCCATCACTCTTCATCTCTATGGATCCTGCCCTCAGGAAGACAGGAACTCCGCCAGGTCTGTCTGGAACTGCCTCTTGTATGCGGTAGTTGTGCTCTCGCTTGCGCCGTGGATGAACA